AAAAAAAAAAAAAAAAAAAAAAAAAATATATATATATATATATATATATATACTATATATATATTAGATGTAAATACTTAGATAAAATTAAAATAGATACATTTGTTCTAAAAGCGCTAAAAATTGATTTAGTTAAAATTTAAAAATGTTAATTTATTTGCAAGCTAAGGCAGTTAATATGCCTACAATATACTGTGAATATAGTATAGTCACAACATAGAATATGGTTGAATATGGTTAACAGGTGCTACTGTATAGTGTGTAGTGTTTAGTGTATAGCACAGCTGGAATGAAATAAGACTGAGTCTGAGTTCATTCATACTCAATATGCACACACACCAACAAACACTGTGACAAATCTCACCGGACAAGATTCTCTTTGTATGAGACGCTGGTGTGTGAGGGAGTCAGGGTGACATTACCCTCGTCATCTGTGGTAAAACTGTCCTCTGTTATAACATAATAACCATTGGCTAGTAGGCGGGGGCTTCGGCGGCATGCGCACACGGAGCCTGTCAGCGGATTGGTGGAGAAACACTCGAAGGAGGAGTCAGAGAAGTGAGAAACGTCAAGACTGAAAGAGAGAAACAGCATTAATGTACACACACATTTTTTACAGATGCATAAACAAGCACTACACATATACTTAAAGAAAATAACAAGGAAAAGCTTATAAATATACGTTGCTGATTTTTGTCTACATGTCTGTACCTGTGACAAATATATTCAGCCTCCTGCCTCCTGGTCTTAACCGGAGAACCTATGACAAACATCAGGTCAGGTCAGTCTTATCAAAGAATGTGTGCACAAGATAGAGGAAGAATGAGAGAGAGGGCATACATACTTGTAACCGCTCCTTTGAAGAAGAAAGACATGGCTCACGCTGCTGTTAAACCTGTAATAATAACCACAAAATAACATTCTGCTCAAAGAAACTGATAGAACATAATTTATCAAATGTGTATTGCTCATGTGAAACAATTTTTGAACTATTTCTATTATTCTTTTTTTACTTCACATTACTTCACATAGATTTTATTGAATAATTCTTTGTGCAAAAATTAAGGTTCTGCAACAAGAAATACATACAACATAGATGAGATATAAGCAAAAAATAAATGTAAATATAAATGATCATATACTGATATATTTATAAACCTGTTATAATGATTGTACATAATCTACAAATGTGTATTGCTCATGTGAAAGAATTTTTGAACTATTATTTTTGAAATCATTTATTTATATCTTCACATTGATTTTCGTGAATAATTGCTTGCACCACATTAAGGTTGTGCAAATAAATAAATAAAACAAAGATCAAACAAAAGCAAATAATAAATATAAATAATTATATATTGACATATATATATTAATAAACAAGTAATGATGATTGTAAAGAATGAAAATGTCAAATTAATGATATTCACAGATCCATAATTTTTCTGCTATAGAGCTAAAGAATCATTAATGAAAAACAATTCCAACAAATATATAAGTATAACAAGTGTATAAGTATAATAAAATAAATAACTATATAAGTGTACTTCTTTAAATCCTTAAAATAATCTCTGTTTAAGTCTTGAATAGAATGTACATTTATAAATTTTTCTAAATAAAAATATTTTGAAAAAATCACAAAAAAATGGAAAACAAAATATAAATGGTTAAGAATTAAATATGCAATATAGATTATATGGAAATTGAATTACAGGCATTCTTTTGTGCAATGCAAAGAAATGAGGCCAAATGAGAGGAAAGGCTATTATTTATACTACTTATATATTTTTTATAACTGTCTCCTTAAGTATTTTTTTCTTGTTAATATTTGTGTAAAATAGATCAAATGTTCAAAAATAAATGTATTTCACGAAATAAAATTAATAATTTAATAAAAAATGGGGAGGGGTGTCTGTCAGGATGTAAAGGGAGTGGGATGGGGAGGGGGATCAGGGAGCCATTATGATCGAAATGGGGATGATGCTGGCAAAGTAGGTGGAGACCAGTTACTGTACTTCCTGTTAACCACTTCCTGGCTGGAAATAAACTGATTGGCTGAACAGAGTGTTGCGCATGTGTGCGCGGCAGCTGCTATCAGAGACGCAGTGGAGACTAACGGCAAAGAAAGAGGGAGGACAATAACACATGCTCTCTCTCTCTCTCTCTCTCTCTCTCTCTCTCTCTCTCTCTCCCGCACACACACAAAGCAGCTCATTTGTTTTTCTTACAAATCTGTTCCCAGAGTGATCACATGACACACTTCTGCAACTTATGTTTGTGTTTGAACAGAAAGTCAGTCCCCAAAACCCTCACACTCATTTCCTGTAGTCTCTGTGAGCTAGAAACACGAATTGACATTTTTAGCATAACTGAAAGTTGCAAATACATAAAAACAAGGAAAACATAGCATGATGAGATGTTGATATTGCAGCAGAGTGTAAGTGAAATGAGTAGCTGCAATATCAAAGCTCATTACAGAAATGCAGGCCAACCACAAAACCACACATGCATAGCGACACACAAACAGAGCTCAAAATATAAATAAACAATTTATTTCTGGCAATTATTATTTCATAATTTATCTATTTCTATTACTTTATTTCTTGTGTCCTCACTTATTTAATAAGAAATTGGGATTGTGATTTAACATATATGGCTGAAGAGAAAAAAAAATATTTTGCAGCATATTGTACAAATTTGCAAACATTGAATTGGTTAATTCTGTTATTAACAATTGATGATGTAATGTCTGTTTCTCAATTCTTTTAGTGGTTTTATGTTTTCTAAGATTTATCTGTTTATTTTTATTTTTTAATCTTAACGTACTTTGGTCTACTTTGTAGTTTTTATTAATAAATAAAATGGTCTAGCCTACCTTACAGTCTATGGTCTACCTTTCATAAATAATTTGACTTAATAATAGTAATAATAACAATAATAGAATATTTTAAAGGAGATATCAGAATAATTTATCTTATTTTATTCAGAATAAATACTGGTCTGGTGTGATATTTATGCGAAATCTGGCGTCCACATTATTTTCATGCTCTGAAAACTCTTAGTTTAATTCTGCGTTCAGACGCGTCGCTCCTCGAGTCTTTTGTTGCGCGGCCTGAAGCAGATACGTGATGCGCGAGAAACATTCACTCATATATAAAGCTGTACTAGGTTTGAGTTTGTACTATGATAATCGTACAATTTAATAAATCTAAAATCTCACAGTGTATAAAGATCATATAGGCTATACAGTGATTATGCCTAAGCGTAATGCGATACTAACATCCGGTTTCTTCTTCTCCACGTTCTTTAACGCTGAATGTGCTCTGTTTCTACTGTGCAGAACATATGAAACTAAGATTCAGAAACAAAAGAAAAACATCTTACCTAAACCGCGGAGAATGCGGATAGCGGTGCGGATCAAGTCTGTCCGCTTACCTACAAACACTGACATGCATGAAGAACCACGCCTACTGTGTGTGTGTGAGAGAGAGAGAGAGAGAGAGAGGGAGAGAGAGAGCCATTCGGCCATTTCCAGGCCCAGGGAAATGTACTGCTTATAGGTGACTTCAATTCTAGAACCGGTGACAAATTAGATTTCATAGAATCACAAGGCACCAGATTCATTACTGGCAATAATAACAGATTTTTTCCTTCTCACCCTCCCAGACAGAACTGTGATCAAACAGTGAACTCTCACGGAAGGCAGCTGCTGCAGCTCTGTCAGAATCTGGCTCTGTACATCGTCAATGGAAGACTGCGAGGAGACTCACTCGGTCGCTTCACCTACAGCTCAGCTCTTGGTAGCAGCACTGTAGATTACACAATCACAGATCTCCATCTTTCCTCTTTGAGAGCATTCACAGTCAAACCCTTGAAACCTTTCTCAGACCATAGTCAAATCACCCTCTATTTAAAGCAATCTGAAACATTACCCAAACCAATTAGGACACCATATCAAATGCACAAAATTATGTCATTCAAACGGGCAGAAAACAGTACAACTAACGCTACTGAATCGTCAGAAATACAGTCCCTCTTACATTCTTTCCAGATACAGGAATACCCTAAAAATCAATTTGGCATCAATCAAGCAGTGAAAGATATAAATTACATATTCTATAAGACAGCACAAAGAAGTGATATGACAATTATAAAACCAAAGAAAAAGAAATTGGACACTGACAAATGGTTTGATTCAGACTCTGAGAAAAAACCTCCAAAATTTATCCAACCAAAAACAAGCTCAGCCCGGAAAAAAGCTCAGTTTCTGCAAGACCAGTTTGAAGAGATCGGTAAATCAATACATTCAAACAAATTCTGGGATAAATGGAAATTATTAAACAAATCAAATCAAGAAGACCTGGCTATCCAAGATGGCGAGATATGGAAGAATAATTTCCAAGAATTATATAGCAGTTTGAAGAGATCGGTAAATCAATACATTCAAACAAATTCTGGGATAAATGGAAATTATTAAACAAATCAAATCAAGAAGATCTGGCTATCCAAGATGGAGAGATATGGAAGAATCATTTCCAAGAATTATATAGCTCAACTGAAATTCAAAACTCTGATCAAAATGAAATAATTAAAAAACTAGACATTTTTGAAAAATCAATAAAAGCAAATCAAAACCCCTTAGATTTCCCCATAACACTGAAAGAGTTAGAAGATAAATTACGGGTCCTCGAGCCCAAGAAAGCCTGCGGTGTTGACGGCATCCTGAACGAGATGCTGAAACACACAGAGCAAAGCTTCAAACTGGCCATCCTCAAACTCTTCAGTGATGTTCTGTGTGTAGGGTTCTTCCCTGAGATCTGGAACCAGGGCCTCATCAGCCCCATCTACAAGAACGGAGACAAACTGGACCCCAACAACTACCGAGGCATCTGCGTGAGCAGTAACCTGGGGAAGGTTTTCTGTAGCATCTTAAACACAAGACTGTCAGAGTTCCTTATCAAACACAATGCCTTGAGTAAATGTCAAATTGTTTTCCTCCCAAAATGCCGCACATCTGATCACATTTTTACACTACAAACACTAATTGATAAATATGTACATCAAAACAAAAGAAAAATTTTCGCCTGTTTTATTGATTTCAAGAAAGCATTCTTCTCAATCTGGCATGAAGGATTATTCCTAAAATTTATCAACAGCGGAATAGGAGGTCAATTCTATGACTTGATCAAATCCATGTACACAATCAGCCAATGTGCAGTTAAAATTGGAAACAAAAGAACTGAATTTTTTCTTCAGAGGCGTGGAGTGAGACAGGGCTGCAGTTTAAGCACCCCCTCTTCAACATTTACATCAACCAATTGGCCAATGTTTTAGAACATGCTCCCATTCAAGGTCTCACTCTCCATGACACAGAAATAAAGTGTCTTCTTTACGCAGATGACCTGCTTCTCCTGTCGCCCACTAAAGAAGGGCTTCAGGACAGCCTGCATCTGCTGGAGGATTACTGTCAGACCTGAGCCCAAAAAACTCAGAGCCCAGTAAACCTCCAAAAAACTAAAGTCATGATCTTCCAGAAACACTCCAGATCTCAGGGACTAAAACACACATTCACACTATATCACACAGAACCATTGAAACCACAAAAACATACAATTACCTCGGCCTAAAAATTACTCCAACAGGTAACTTTACTTTGGCTGTGAATGAGCTCAAAGAGAAAGCTCAAAGGGCTTTCTATGCCATAAAAAGATCAATTAAAATCGACATCCCAATCCAAATCTGGCTCAAACTTTTCAAATCAGTAATTGAACCAATTGTATTATATGGCAGTGAGGTGTGGGGTCCATCTATAAAATTTGACTTTGTAAATTGGGAAAAACATCCAATTGAAAATCTGCAATTAGATTTCTGTAAAAGAATACTCAAAATCCAAAGAAAAACACCAAATAATGGATGCAGGGCAGAATTAGGCCAATACCCTCTCCTTCTAAACATCCAAAAAAGAGCCATCAAATTCTGGAAACACCTAAAGACAAGTGACCCCAGCACATACCATTATAAAGCCCTGAAACACCAAGAGCTGAGCCTCACGAAGAGTCCCCTCCTTCAGCTGGTGCTGAGACTGACAGAGATCAGCCAGCCTCAGGACTCACACTCACTCTCAACCATTCGGCTCACACAAATCATCAACACAGAGAAAGACAAGTACATCACCCATTGGACAAACACCATTAAAAACCAACACAAATTAGAATGTTATTCAGCACTAAATCGAGAGTACACCAAGGCAAACTACCTGAGCAGTGACCGATGTCAAACTCGGGAAAACATTGATGATGTACAGACTCAGCGAGCAGTCTGTCTGTAGAGACGGGCCGGCGCAGACAAACCTGGCTCTCCTGTGAGGAGAGACTCTGCTCCCACTGCAGTCTGGGAGAGATAGAGACAGAGCTGCACTTCCTCACAGAATGCCCAATACCAAGCCATCAGAGACCACTACTATCCCAAAATTAATCAAATATTTCCCCAATTTATCATTTGTAAAAAGCCAAATGTGCAAATATTGCTGCAAAATTTGTAGCATCGTGTCATCACCTGAAGGACAAACACAATCCAGAAACACACAGCCAATAGACACTCTCACAGGCCAAAACTGAAATACTGTTACACATGTACATAATGTTCCATTTCTCAGTTCAGCAGTTGCTACAGGAAATTTATTTTTATTTTATTATTTTCCCTATGTATCTTTGGGTATACATGACATTTCCATATTAGTTATATATTACATATTAGTTATAATACAGAGAGAGAGAGAGAGAGAGAGAGAGAGAGAGAGAGGAGGGGGCGCTGTTCAAAACAAAACTTCTCTGAAGAATGCAGTAGTGCACCAGAAATGCAAACATATTTGATCAAATACATAATTTCACATACTTGTGCATATAGTGCACAAGTAGGAATGCATTAGTATTTATAATTAAGTTATTATATTTGAAAGTCACTCTGCACAAGTCTAACATCGTTTAAAGGGATAGTTCGCCCAAAAATGAAAATTCTGTCATCATTTACTCACCCTCATGTCCTTCCAAACCTGTATGAGTTTCTTTCTTCTTTTGAGCACAAAATTTGATATTTTGAAGGACGTGTAACCAAACAGTCAGCGGTAGCAATTGACCTATAGTATTTTTTTTTCATTCTATGGAACACAATGACTACCATCAACTGTATGGTTACCCACATTCTTCAAAATAGCTTCTGAGTTCAACAGGCAACTGACACAAACCTGTAACAGTAGTTCTGATTTTATTTAAGCTTTTAGTGCCTGTGTCAGTTACAAGTTGTAAATTTGTAGATGGTTCATGGGATTATTATTAATAATTTGGAATCACAGTTAGGATTTGTCATTCAACAAAATTACAAAAAGTTAATTGTTCCTAGGCTGAACACAGACTCAACAAACATTTCCTCAGAATGTGGACTGATAACTTGAGTATGTGTAAATGAACTGAAGCAGACCAGAATAATCTCTAGTGTTTCTCTGCAGTGTGTGAGGATGGCATCATGGAACAGTGGCATGTGTGTGTAATGCTCAGCTCAGGGGCCTCTATTACCAACATCCTTCTCTCTTTCTCTGGAGACAGTTACGTAAGTTAAAACTTCTACAAACTTTGAGAGTAAAAGTTCTAATAGTAAGAATATTTATTTTATTGTTCAATACTAGATATTTTGCTATTTACACTTAAAAACTTATTTAAACACAAAATATTTATATAAAATGTAACCAACACATACAACATCACCAGAGTGTGAGACTCAGTAAGGCTGTGTGTTGGGCTCTAAGAGGTGTGTCGCATGCATGTCTCTGGTCATGTTGTTTTTCTCTCTGAGTTTGGCTTGTAGTAACGTGTGCTCCACCACTCCCATCCGAACATCCATCTGCTCAATCTCCTGCTTCAGCTTGGTCAAACTCTGACGGATCTTCACCACTGGAGCTGCAACACAAAACACATTAACAAGCAGAACCTACAGCTCACATAAACAAACTGCATCATCAGTAGCTTGAAAGAGGGTTTGTTGTGTGTGTGGTTTACCTCCATCAGACATGCTGCTGCCTTTCTCTTCCATTTCCTGTTTGACTTTTTCTAGCTCCTCACTGATCTGAAGTAAAAATAAATACGCTTTATGAATGTTATTTGAATATTGTTTGGATATGTGAACATAGTACGGCTGTATACAGCATTATGAGACACATTCATTTATGAAAAACTACTGATGTTGTTATTTGCTACTGTGTGGAAACCAGAAGATGGTGAAATCATTGTAATAACAACACTGTGTTACTGTATTGTTGTTTTCAGACTCACCTCAGCCAGAATCCTGGTTCTCTCTGTGACGCCACCACTGGCTTGCTGATAAAGCTCCTTTACCTGAGGGAAAAAAACACATGCAACATTTGACATCCTAATATTTTGACTGGTTTAAGGTTAGTAATAATGATTTAGGTTTTGAGTGGTCGAGATGCACACCTTGTTGAGCTGTGCTTGTGCCTGGCGGTATTCTGAAATAAGATGCTCAAGCTGAGTGTTAAGATATTTCTCACGACTGCTCACTTTCTCCAGTGTTTTACTGATGTCTTCCCTCAGCTTAAACAGACAACCCTGAAAACATCCACACATATACATACTTAAATTGAATATTTTTTTTAATATTTTGAAAAACATCAGTGATGTATTGATGGATGGTTGACCTTGGCGTCTTGCAAGGATGTGCTGATGCCGTCTTGATGTTGATGCATTTGATCAAGATGAATCCTCCAATCCTGAAACAAGTTAACCATTATTTCAGTCAATCAGAGCTTCTCCATCACCATAGAGGTGACATACTATGATTTAAGGTTGACGTATTTGAGACCTTGTTGTCAGTTCGAATGGTGACTTTAAGGTGTGGAAGAACTCGCTCCACCTCCAAATTCCACTCAGCGGCATTAACATCTGACTCCAGACCCACCGCAGGCCTCGATCCACTGAGTTCCTAAACACACACATCTGCCAGTTGTCTTTTACTGTACATACAGGTACATTTGTTTAAAATATGAATAAACGTCCCTCCTAACTAAGTATAAAAAGACTGTGGGCTCTTCATGATTTATAGCACAGACACAAATATCACCTCACATATAAAACAACTCACTATCTCCAGAGAAAGTAAGTAATTATTCCTTTCAGGTTTATATCATGTTATTATATGTATCACATGCTCTTATGTCAAATAAAACTCACACTCTGATTGGTTCTGGTCTTCAACGCGTCTAAATCAAGGCCATCCTCTTCCTCATCCTCCTCATCCTCCTGCTGAAGATGCACATTCATTCACTTTACACACGAGTCTGTGTGTGTGATTCACTGTCATGTCTTCAGTCACTTTACTATGTGAATAAGAGGTGGGCGATATAAGCAAACATTTATATTATGATATTCTAGATTTTAGTTAAAATATATCACAATAGAGTACAAACTGTATTCCATTTTTTTTTTTTTTTTTTTTTACATATATTTGCTTTTGATGTAGAACAATATCCAAAGTAAAAGTAAGGTATCTCATTTGAAGAATATAGGTTTTTTTTTCAGTCACATAAATTGTGATGAAATACCTTAAAACAATCTAAAATCTTAAAACAATGATACAAATTTTTTATTTATCTGCCTGCCATTGATTTTTATGCAAACCAAAAATTCTAACATTTTTTTTGCTTACTCCATAAATAATGTATTGTTTTGATTTGTCTTCTATGGCATACTGGAGAAGTTTTTATTATGTTTTTTAATTGATTATTATTATTATTATATTGTATAAATATATATTTATACTTAAACCGTTATATATCCAGTACATAACGAGCACATCTGTACATAAGTCTTCTGCTTACTCCATCGAGATGTATAAAGTTTTTATTTTACTTCTACTTACTTTTCCTTTTTAGGGCTGCACGATTAATCGCATGCGATATTTAACGCCAGCTCGTCAGTGAACAACGGCTCTGTGTAGTTAATGCTGCTCAATGTGAAAGCACGCAGGTGATGGAGATTTACCGCTGATTACAGAACCGGCTTTACTGATAAGATGCGCGTTAAATATCGCATGCGATTAATCGTGCAGCCCTACTTTCTATCCTCTTGTTTTATGTATATAATTACTCCGAACTCCTGGAAATCATAACAAATTCCTTTTATATTTGTGCACACTTGGCAAATTTGGACTTTTGCTTGAAGCAGATCTAATCAAAATATATAAATACACCGTTAATCCAAATATAATTTAATAAATCCTGAGCTAATTTCCTCACAACCCGTGAAAAACACTTCTAATATAAAAGCTTGACAGATAGCAGCAGTAACTCAGGAAGGTGAAGCTTAGAATAGTGTTTGCGTTTGATTCACTGTCATTTCTTCCTCCACTTTACTGAGTGTGAGCTCAGCATCATCTTCCTGCACACACTCCTCTTCCACCTCCACAGTCGGGTACAGAGGCCTGATAGAGAGAGAATACCAGCTGCATTAGTGTGTATATAGTGGGAAGAAAACGTTTGTGAACCCTCTTGAATTTTGTAGTTCTACAACAAGGTTATATGAGACCTAAAGCAGCACAGAGCATCATACAATCAGCTCTTGATATGTGTGTGTGTGCTGTTACCTGTTCCAGGTGAATCCTTTACTCTTTAGTGCCTTTTCTACCAACTGATCTAGAACATAACAGACATGTTCTCCAGATCCAGACTTCAGCTTAGATGGTGGGAAATCGACCTGGCCACCCTACAAAAACAGATATACAGCGATAATCAAGAAACCCAAATACTTCTACACACACTTGTGAGGATGTTATCACCATGATAACGTCTCACCAGGGCACGCAGCTCGGACAGGATGTTGGAGACGGTGGCGTTGGGATCATCGTACTCCTGCGGTGTGTCAAACGGCCGCCCGCACAGAGAAATCAACCAGGCAGCAATTACACTGAACATATAGAACTGCTCTCCAGAATTGGACAACATGTGAGGGCTAGAGACAAAATAATGCCTGAAAAACAGAGCAAAAAATGCTTATTTTGATTCAGCAAAGATTGATCCTTATAAGTTTAACTAATAAGTAACCCTAGAAATGTTTGTATTGGTTTGAAGGTTACTATCACATTCTGTTTTATGCTCCTTGAATAAAATAAGAAAAATGCCTGATCTGTTCTTGATCACAAATTATTTTTACATTTTATTTAAGGGCTTTTGACTTTGTATATTAATGTCAATAAGATTAGAAGATGCAACATGTGAAATCAAAAAACAACAGCAACATGATCCTGCCTTATAATTCACACATGAAGTAGCTATTCTAAATCACTCACCTAGACAGAGGATTGATGTTGTGTTTATCCAGAACATGCTGTTCATAATCCAGAACTTTGAGTTTATCCAGCAGATCCTCCATCAGCACGAACATCTGATAAACTGAACCGGGTCCGCGCTCTTCCTCCTCCGCCATCCCTGTCTCTGTCTGTGTTCATATTCAACAAGCTTTATTGGCGAGGCAAAACGGATTTAACTTAAATAAACATCACAGATATGTACACAGGCACATATACATGCTTCTCCTTCTTCGTGTGTATTTTTATCAGTCGTTTCTGATACACAAGCTACAAAAGGGAACTCGGGATGTTGTAGTTACTGTCGCCAGGAATGACGTCACACATTGGACATGATAGGAAACAAAACAATAGTAATGAACCGTGATGGTTAATAATAAACAATGGGTAATAACGAATAACACAAAATATATAATTGGTAAAGAAAATGGCACTACTGAGCTGAAACTCTTATGAGTGTTTGGCAGCTGAACGTTTAGAGAATCTCAGTGCTGCCACACGCTGGAGCGGAGAAGAAAAGTTCTTGTAGACAATATAATATAATATAATATAATATAATATAATATAATATAATATAATATAATATAATATAATCAATCAAAAGTCGACACTATGAAAAGTTAGAACTAGATACCTGTCATTTCCCTCGTTACCTAAAATGAAAGAAGTACACTTCAAAACAGAAATCTCAGGAACATTTTTTTTTTCTCCAATTGAACTACTGTTAAATCCTTTTGGGACAGATTGTATGTAATTTATTGTAAATTAATTATTTATTGTTTTGTAATTTATTCCTGTGATGGCAAAGCTGAATTTACAGCAGTAGGGTTTCCAGAATTCAAAGGAACAGCATTTATTTGAAATACAATATTTTTTGTAACAATGTAAACGTAACTGTCACTTTTAATAAATTGAATGCATCATTGCTGAATAAAATATTTCTAAAATTTTATTTAAAAAAATGTTCTCACCCCCAAACCTTTGAACAGTTGTTTATATTACATATACTATCATTTATTTTCACATATATTTTTGTAATTGTTTTTTATATCAGGAAAACTATGTGAGTGAAAAGCTGAATTGAAAAATGAGCATGCATTATAGTGTTCGGTTGTCTTTAGATAAACTGCATGCTAGTGTGCTCCTCATGTTAGGTTGCTATGTGCTGGGCAGAGCCGCTCAGCTGTTGAGATTAATTTCAAGAGATCTTTTTTTTGGTTGATGGGTCAGTCTTTCTTTCACTCTGCCAGTCTCTGTCTCTATGATGTTGGCGTTTGTATGAACATAAATGTTTGAAGATCCAAATGTAATTGAGGTTCAGTCCCCAACTTAACTACCAGTGTTTGGACAAAGTCATCTGCTCCTTACATGGTAATTAAGACACAATGCAGAGTAAAAGGACACATTATAGCATATGTTTTCACGTTTTAATGGTAACAGAAATTATACAAACACATCTAGTGCTTTACTGTTAATTAATTTGGCAACCCAACACACACTCATACACGCTCACATTTCGGAGCACATTTTTAATGAAAAAAATTCCCTCTTTTTTCCACTTACTCATTAACTACTTTCTATATCTGCATTATATATGCTTTTTTCCTTCCACTTCTCCACAGTTCCTGTGGTGAATTGCTGTTTTCAGTCCTCTTGGATACGGGTCGCTCCCTCCTCTGATACTGGACCTTCCCTCTTGTTCTCGCTAACCACCTCTGTGTAGGTCACATCTGGGCTAGATTTCCTGCCTTTGGGAGGAGTCACAGCAGGCTCCGCCTCCACGCCCTCTTGGCCCTCAGCGACTGTGCGTTCCTTCTTCAGTTTGATTTTGAATGATTCTTTATTGGGTGCTTTCTTAGCTATGTTTTCCTTCAGCCTCTCACTGCCCTGACGGATCTTCTCTCGCTGCTCAGGGGGCACGATCTTCTCACCCAAGGTGTTGATTTTGGTTCCGAGCGTTTGGCCCGTCTTACTAAGGCTGTCCTTGGTCTTGCTGAGGTTTTCCCGCGTCTTCTCACGGGTCTTGTTCATTTTCTCTTTGGAGAATGCAGCTTTGATGTTCTCGATGCCTTTTAACCCGCTCTGTTTCAGACGGGCACCCCGTGATGACTCTGCCTCCTCAACCACCATGTACTCTTCATCAGATGATAGGTCAGCAGGGATTTCATACTCATCTGGCTCCACCTCCAGGTTAGCAAGCCCCACCCCCTTGGGAGTCTTGGTGACAGCAACAGAGGGAACTTCAGTTTCACCCTGCAGTCAAACACAGAAAAGAGAGACCATTATTTAGCAGGAAAACACACTCTGACTTCACCTGCTCCTAGAAGGTCATGAGAAGAACTCTGTGCTGTTTGTGTGTATATAAAACTGTATGTAGTAACATTCATAAGGAAATTGCAGTTAACAGCTTTGCTGGAGGCCTGGATTTTTGATGCTTTCTTGCAACCCACCTAGATGCAAGAATCATGGAGCTGATTATCACACATTAATTAAAATTTTTCTTTTATTTTTTTTAACATTGACACATAAATGCGCTCCTACATTTCAGGTGCCGAGTTATGGTGTAAAATCTTGGTCCAGTTACAAAATACATTTCAAATACTTAATTGTCTTCAACTGTTTTTGCCCAAACAGTGAAAGTCAGTGGAGTCCCAAACAACATTGGACCCCAATGACTTCCATTGTATGGACAAAATGAGGCAATCTTCAGATCAAAATGTCTTTTTTTGTGTTCCACAGAAATGAAGGTGAGTAAATAATGACATAATTTTCTTTTTTGTCTGAATTATCCCTTTAAAGGGTTAGGTCACCCAAAAATGGAAATTCTGTCATTAATTACTCAGCCTCGTGTTGTTCGAAACCCGCAAGACCTTCGTTCATCTTCGGAACACAATTTAAGATATTTTTGATGAAATATGAGGGCTCTCTGACCCTCCCATAGACAGCAAGGTAACTACCACGTTCAAGGTCCAGAAAAGTACTAAGATGATCGACAAAGTAGTCCGTGTGACATCAGTGGTTCAACTGTAAAGTTACGAAGCTACGAGAATACTTTTTTGCGCAAAGAAAACAAATATAACGACTTTATTCCACATTTTGTCTCTACTGCGTCACTTGTGGACGCGCGTTAACGACAGTATCATGACGCGATTAAATTGTGTTCCGAAGATGAACGAAGGTCTTTACGGGTTTGGAACAACACGAGGGTGAGTAATTAATGACAGAATTTTCATTTTTGGGTGAACTAACCCTTTAAATACAGTTTACCCATTTATTTTCAGCTGTTACTTTTTGGAAGGTTCGCCATGATGCATATAAGATGATATGTTCAATGTTACATTGCATGAAAAAGTTGAAAACTGGTTAAAATCAACAGTTCCAATTTAAAAGTAGGTTTTTGTCAGTCCATCTGAAGGTTTGTGAAGTCAAATCTTTAAAAGTTATTCAGATATCAACCATATTCTGTCTTTTTTTTTAGAAATGATGTCTACAATAATCTGTACTTTTTAGGGGTGTAACGGTACACGTATTCGTACCGAACCGTTTCGGTATTTTTTTTAAAGTTGAGTGTTGATCATCTATTTAAAAATAAATAGTAATTAAATTTAAGTTTGGGTTAAGTTGTTAGGCCTAATTGTAACCTTATAATGTAAAAGGGCTCCCTATAGTTTTAAGCATAAGCTGAGGTAGATTTTTATCACTAAGAACATTTAAACTATAACTGAATGTATTTAAAGAAAGAGCAACTTGTTCAGTAAACCATTTAAAAAAAAAAAGTTTTTCCCCCTGCTGTACCGAAATAATACCGAACCGTGACGTTAAAACCGAGGTACGCACCGAACCGTCATATTTGTGTACCGTTACACCCCTAGTACTTTTACATTTAGGTGCACAGAAATTCTGATCACATACATTTTCCAATCATTTTAAGTTTTTGTGTTTTTAGTTAAATTTTGAGTGCTGATCTACTATTGTGATATCATCAATTTCACAGTTACAGTATGTTTACATAACATCAAAACAAATCATACTGTGGTTGGTCACTTTATAAGTCAGTTAGACAGTCTCTTCCTGTTTAAGTGGGCGGTTCTTGGCCTTAACAAGCAAAGGAGACTAGGTTTTATGTCAGTCTAAAGCCTGGTTACATGAGATGACCCTTCCCTGGAGGGAATTCTTGTAGTCTGTAAGAATGGATATCTATGTATGTGTATGTATAAACTCCCTATTCAGGGAATAGCCTTAAAGAGTCTATTCAGCTGTGTGTGCAGCTCTATATTAGGAAACCTCAGAATTACCACATACAAACACACACACTTATACTGACACACACACTCTAACAGCCTAATTTGTATTTTATTATGTCACATGTATTCTCTAAATATTAATATTGCACAACACAGTGAGGAGTCAAACAGAAAAATTTGCCAGCATTTGTGCATTGCTACTTAGAATAATTTAACTGAATCATCATTTGTGTCACTTGCAAACCATATAGTCAGGATTGGGGAACCAAATGTCATCTGGTGAAAAATGTAACAAAAATGTAATAGATCATTGACAAAACCACATTAGACAACTACTAATCTGTGATACTCAATATCTGTGGTTAAAGTGATAGTTTTCAAAAATGAAAATTCTGTCATCTTTACTCACCCTCGTGTCTCTCCAAACCTGATGTTTTTGGTTTGGAACACAAACGAAGAAATTTTGAAGGTAACCAGAATTTTGGGTCCCACTGACTTCAATAGCCATTTTTTGTTCATACTATGGAAATCACCTGAAACTGTTTGGTTACCAACATTCTACAAAATATCTTCTTTTGTGTTCCAGGGAGGGAAAAAAACAACATGAAGGTCAGTAAATGATGACAGAATTTTCATTTTTGGGTGAACTATCCCTTTAAGGCCCAGTGTCACTCTCTGTTTCTCTCTTTCTGGAAGTCTCTTGAATGGACAAATCAAAAATATCTTTATGTCACTCATCAGACATACTAACAGAATTACTTAGCCAATCATCTCTAAAAAGGAAATTCTCAAGTGTGCTATTGCTATGTGTGAGATTACAGTGCCAACTTGCTGTTAAATGGCAAAAGGATTGAGCCACACCCTCAATAACCCATAACACACATGCAGCGGTTGTTAGGAATGTGTTTACCTGATAGATAACAACCCTGAACTTGTTGCGGGTGAGCAGCTCATCTTGTGTAGTTTCCACTTTCTTCACACGCACATTCTGTTTCTCCACACGTGAGCGTACTTCTTTAACGTGCGCACTCACACGGCAGGCTTTCTGCAGCAGTTTGTCAACGGTTGTGGCCGTGGCGCCATGGTCGCGAGCTAGTTTGAGAAGCTCGGATTGGACGGCGCTCACCGAGCTTTCGAGCTGCTGCTGATGCTCCTCCATGCGCTGCTGGCTGGCCTGGACGCCATCGATGA